TCTGTTTTGTTTAATATGAGATTTAAAAATACCAAAATCTGTATAAAACTCTTTTATCAATAAATTTGACATTTTAACAATTTTTTGGCTTAAGATCATTTTTCTAGAAAAGGAGATTTTTTCTTGTTTCAAGCCGATGGTAGGAGGTTTCTATAGCTCTGACATCGACTTATTTAGTTTGTTTTACTTCTCTTTCTTTGATTTATTTTGTTTATGGTCACTTGATTTGTTTGATTGCTAATTTATTTTGAATCCGACAAAGTTTTTGCTATTATATGTTTCTTCCAATGGATTTGGAAAGACAAAATATTCGGTTCAGCTTATCCATTTGGAAAAGATAATTAACAGATCTATAGCCGATAGTAGCGACGGGTCTTACCGACTTCAACCGTTAATGGTTCTTTATTTGATAGTGTTGAAGTTTTTGCTGTAAATTATGGTTACTACGAAAAATCTCTTTAACTCAATAGAACAATATAAAAAGTTTTCTTCTCTCAATGGCTTCTACTGGAGTAATAAAAAGAGATGACAATCGTTCTCAACTCAGTCTGAATCGTGGTGTTTTTAGATTAGTACAAAGCTTATCTCCTTTAAGATTCAACTATTCCATAAGAAATATGGAGTTTTAATTAAAAAAATTGTTAGTCATCCATACGCAAATAGACATGTTAGTTTACTTTGGATCTTTACTAGTGTATTCATTTTCTATATTTTTTTTGTTAGTTATCATTGTTAAGAACTTTGTACCTACAAGAATTAATAATACAATCCAGCGTTAAAAAATAAAAGATCATTTTTCTAAATTTCAAAGCATATCAAAATATTATCTAATGATATTATCTTTCAAGCATATAGATCATCTTGAACGGATATTATAATTTTGAATATGACAACAACACGCATCAGTAGTACACAAACCATAGAAATAATCATGGTTTCTACAAAATATGGTGCATCCTCTGTTTCCTCCGCGGTCACATGTTTCTGTTCCATTGAAGCATTGAACATCCATCTGATCTGTTCCATAATTTATTTATTAATAAAATTCATTAAATCAAAATATATGATCATTTAAAAAAATGAATCATGTTCATAACTATCAAATAAGAGTACAACAATAAATCAGAACCTGGAATAATAGCAGTTGTCGTACGAGAATGAGCACAAGATAAGATGAAGAAGAATGTAAAAACAAATGCGACTAATGTTTTCACAGTGATATTCATTTTAATAATATATTCTCAAAATTTTAATGAATTTGTCTTTGTTTAATCTGTATATATACTAAAATAATATACATTAAATTCATTTTTTGGTCAAAAATGAAAATATATATTCACAATTTTTTCCTTATACGTAGTTTTATAGTGAAGAAAAAGTCAACAGAATGATTTCTTCCTAATTTAACTTTGAATTAGTGAGATAATATTTATTTCCTAAATAGTTAAATATGTAAATAGTTTTCCTCATATTTAGCTTTTTTCAGCTCCTCATATTTAGCTTAAATTTGAATATTATTTGCAAAGTTGAATGGTTGTCACATGGAAAGAAATTAGTCGTTCATTTCCACCTAGAGATGGCAAATAGGTTATCTTGCTCCATCATATACTGGACCGCAGCGAGTCACAGCATACCAGATCTACATGAACTGTGGTCATCGGAATGACTATCCAAACCCATCTCACTATATATATGAACTTTTGCGGATCGGTCCGTGTGATAATACACGCGGCATAATGTTTTTGACTATTGCAAAACATTTTAAACCACTTTGAGATTCAAGTCGTGAATTCAACTGGACATAATTCATTAATCATGATTTGCTTATTTTTCATTCAAAACAATAGTTGTAGTTAATTTTGTCACACCCAAAACATATTAACATACCGAGTAAAAATAATTGCAAAAGATATTTTCATTAGCTTATAACTCATAAGTTCATAACCAATGTTTTGTTTTAACCAATGTTTTGCTTTGCTGAATCTAGAAATTAAATAAAATCAAAGCTACCAATCCTAAATTAAATAAAAAGAGAAAACCAAATCAAAACAACACCAGAGCTCGAATCGTCATCGTCGGAGTTAGAGTCGTTATCGCTAGAGCCCGAATCATTATAACTGAAACTTCAATCATCATCGCTAGAGTTCGTTACGTTTTCTCGGGACAGAAGTCACATGAATCACCTTCTTCTCATTCTCTTTTTCTTTTTCTCAAGTAAAACAAGAAATGAAGAAAAAAATGCTGCTCCTTGTAATTCTGCATGACCCGTTTCGGTCCATCCTACAAAAGGTACAATCCCGTAAAAACCCATCCCACGAAGTTCGTAAATTTATAGATCTAGAAAATTTCATCTTAATACCATCTTGTGATAGTCCTTTACAAGCCAAATCTACGGCCGAGATCCATAATTACCATCTCTATCTTCACTCCACAAAATGTTACTTCAAAATTTGCTGATTTCACAAAGAATGTTGCGTTATATTTAATGTGATTTTCAAATATATTCTAGGTTCTTATTTATCTTAAGCTAATAAAAGTCAATTGGAGTCTTTACCATTTAATTACTAGCCAATTAGTTGTATATTTAATATGACCATATATTTATATTCTAACCATTTCTTGATAGGTATGATAGTGCCAATATCAATGAGGAAAATAATTCATGGATATATATATATATATATATATATATATATATATAGTTGACTTATAACTAGATTTGAAAACAATATCTAACGTTAAGGTTTTTTTTATATAAATATAATTTACCAAACAAAAAGAAAATTTTAAAAATAATCTCAACATGTTATGCCTAATCTATGAGCAATATACATCTGTATTGTACACACATACATCTGTATAGTACACACATAAATCATATGTGTCCTTTAATTTTAAAAATAATCTCAACATGTTATGCCTAATCTATGAGCAATATACATCTGTATAGTACACACATAAATCATTTGCTAAAATTTGGTGGAAGCTATAAGAACTTGTTATCGAATAATTTAGAGTTATTGACATAGATCCATTGGAGCTGATCCAGCATGCAAAATAAAAAGCTCAAGCTTAGTTCTCAGCAAATGCAGCTATTTCCGTAGTGACAAAATTAAAAAAAAAATTATTAGTTTATAAGCTGTTTGCTTATGGAACATATGTTTGATGGATAACTCTTAGACTTTGTTAGTGGTTGTTGTTGGCTTTAGAAAGACAAATCTCAAAATAACCAACTAATGGATATAAAAGCCCTAGGAAGATAAGAGACATCTATGCATTTGGAGTTAAAATAACTAGTCTGGACAATAGAAAGTATGCTACATCTACCTGCCATAACTTTACATCAAACCGCAAGGATTTGATCACTAATATTAGGGAACCTTAGGCATGGTCAAATTCTTCAAAGAGTTTGACCACTAACAAAGTCTAAGAGTTATACATCAAACATATGTTTCGTAAGCAAACAGCTTATAAACTAATAATATTATTTTTTTAAAAAATTGTCACTAAGGATATGCCGGTGCTACAAAGGTTAAATTCAATCACTTTTTGCACTTATAAAAGAATATAAATCTTGTATATATTGCAAGTGATTTTAAACTATTAAACTGGTAGAATAATTGAAATGGTTTGTATATATTCATTATCTTGTAACTAACAAAGTTAAAATAATTAGAACTCACACTTTATTGTTTGTTTATTTATTGGAAATCATATATAAGATATACATAAGATGGAACTAAGTTTAATTATGATTTAAATAATTTTATCTTATTTTAAGGTTTGGTATAACTGTATAAAGCAATAGTAAAAATTATAATTGATTTAAATAGGCTTGGACATTTTAACAAATACCTGAAACCGATCTGAAAATCCGGACTCGAATCCGATCCAATTTATAAAACATAGGTATTGAGTTAGAAAAGATTGGATACCCCAATCCGATCGGTAATACCCGAATGGAAATCTGAAATATCTGAAAATCTTACACTATTAAAAGGGCATAATAAAGCCTTTTGATAGTGTCCACGTCCCCAAATATATTCAACCAATAGGATCTTTGCTTTTTGCCATGTCACAGATGAGATTGTGTATTTGGGCTACGTTTTTTTTTTAAAAAAAATTGTTCATTGTATCAGGCCCAATTAACCCAACATCCAGAAACCGTAACACGCCGTCTCTTCCTTCTCTGTTTCTTCACTTTTTCTTTTAGCGATTCATCTTCTCAACCGAAAGTCGATCAACACTCTACTCCATCTATGTGCAATGACTCCATTTATGACTTCCTTTCGCCTCTCTCCCTCTGAGCTTTTTTTATCTGTTTTGTTTGATTTGTCTGGTCCAAAGAAAAATCCTAAAAAGATGAGTCGATCCATACGAGAGAGCCATGAGAAACACGGCGGCTTGCTATTCCTCCCCTGCTTCTCCACCGTCGATCTCTTCCCCATCCCAAAATCCACCATCCTCTCTTTCATTGATTCACTAAATGTAGGATCTCTTCTCTTAATTGGTCTTGAGATGCCGATTCATAGAAAAGAACGATCAGATCTGGCGTTTCCATTTGATTAATATAATTTTGTCCCATTGAATACACGTTTGAATCATTGACTGTAAAAAAAAGGAAAACGCTCATGTGTAGTGATTATTCTGTGATGAGTGTTTTAATTTAATGAAATCCGCCTGGTATGATCTGTTCATGGACCAAACAAATAGAAAAAGCTAATCATTGTGGGGTTGCATGATTAAGAAAAGTATATGAAAATGATTCCTTGAAAGTTTAAGTCATGTATTAAAAAGCTGAAGCGCGTGATGTGCTGAAGAAATCTTTTAGTTGCTAAATTTTAATTTCAGAAACAGCTCGCTTATGATTTCGTTTCTACATCGAGATGGGAAATATTTGATGCAGAATTTGTATTTCAGTAAAGAAGCTACACGATAGTTTAATCTGGTTATGTGATGCAGTTCTGATTGTGAACTATTTTTCCCAGAGATTGCTGCAAATGTCTTATTGTCAAGGTAAATAGAAAGAAGCCAAAAATTAATAGCTCTTTATTGGAAAAAGAGAGAAGATTCTAAAAAGCTTTCTTTTGTTCTTATGTCTACAGTAACTACGGTTGATTCAGGCTCTAAAGCTCTAGAGTTTCTTAGTTTGAGAGAAAGCAATGAGAGCAACGACCCAAATGCACCCTATTCAACACCAGTAACACATCAGGTTCAGTTTATTATTTATTCATGAGTCAACTGAGTTTCTTTTTATAACACGCTTCATAGTATTGAAGTTTGTTAGTTTCTTTGTGCAGGAAGTTGAAATAAATCTTATAATCACATATTACTGTATGCCTGGCAGACTGGTATTTGCTCAAGAGAGTTAAGTTATTTTTTTTTATTCTTTCTTTCTTTTTCTTTAAGGTGTTGTATACTAAGGCCTTGATTGGTACAGCAGATAATAAAGCAGTAGCACTATGCTGCATAAGCAGTATGCTACAGAAGTTGTATGCTTTCATTAAAGTTTTTAATAAAGTGAATGGCAGAGCATTAACAGTATATGATTTTAAAATTGTCATAATAATTAGTAAAATAATATATTTCTTTTAAAATAATATATATATTATATTAATAATATATAATTTTATTAAAAATAATGAATTTTCATTATATAAATTATATTTCAAATTTCAAAATTTATTTTTCAAAATATTAAATTATTTTGGATATAAACATATTACTCATATATAAAATTATAGTTATAATTTAATTAATTATTCTTAAATTATAATTATTATTAATTAAATATATAAATTAATTATAATTTATATGTAAATTATTATTATTTATTTATTGGTAGAGCACTAAATTACTCATATATAAAATTATCATAAAATTAATATATAATTTCTTTATTAGTTTCCAAATAATATTTTTATATCGATAATATATAAATTATATTATGTTATGTTTGTTATTAAAATAATGAATGATATAAGTAATTATATAAATTATATATTTTTTAAATGTGAATTTTTTTTTTTTAAATAAAATTTTTAATTTTTATTTTTTTAAATATAAATTTATATTTAATTATAAAAATATTGTTTATATTATTAAACAAAAATAAATTAATTATATATAAATATTATTAAGTTTTATATTTACTATATGCAAATGCTCTCCCAAAAGCTCTATATGAGAGCATTGAGCAAAGAGCATTTGCATTTGGTAAATGTTTTTCTAAATGCTTCTTTACCAAATATTGATTGGATAATAGAGAGTATAATGCTTATGCTAATGCTCTACCAATCAACCCCTAAGATAACAATTTGACTTCCTTCGAAATTTACAGAATATTTATATGCTTGTGTAGGAATCAGCAGCATTTAAAAGCATTCCCGTAGTTATAATGTCTTCTGAAAACGTTCCTGCATCTCCAGGTCAGCCTCTAATTATATCAAATTAAATTTAGAACCTTATTGATTTTGTGAATTGGCATAATATTACCTATTCCTTGAACAACAAATTTTTAATTTTGGACCGATAAAAAATTAACTATATATGTAGATATCCTGCTGTGGGCCTTGGATCTTTAGTACTGATATTATGTCCTGAAAATTTTGAACAATAGATGTCTGGAGGAAGGAACTGAGGCGTTCTTCTTGAAACCAGTAAAGCTAGCTGATCCTACCAAGCTGAAACCTCATATGATGAAAACCAAACTGAAGAAAGAAAGCGAGAAACCAGCAAGAGAAGATACTGCAGCTTTGAAACATGAAATAAGAGAAGAAGAACCATCCGTAATTGAAATCTTGCCTCTACATCAAGAACTTGAAGAAGAATCAATTTTGAGTAATAATAAGAGGAAAGCAATGGAAGAAGTGATATCTACTGATCGATCACATCCTAAATACAATGATATCACAACCTTGGTCTGACCCCTTTCTTATTTCAGTGTCCTGCAGAAGTTTCTATAAGTAAAAACTTTGCTTCAGAGTTTTTTCCATAGGCTTGTTGTAGGTATGCTTCTTCTAGTAAATAGAGGGTTGTTTTTTTTTTTTACAACGAAAGGCTGATCTATTACTCAAATAGAAGGTTGCTATAGAGAGTGAAGAGGAGATATGTATGTACAGATTATGATAGTAAAGGTCGTTAATTAATATTGTTCATTACGAAAAATCAGTATATTTCCAGTTTTATTGTATGCTTCTTTGTTTTTTGGTATTAAAACAATCTCAATAGTAAATAAAATTTACTTTCTTATTTTTTCCAGTTTTGTTTGAGACTATGGTTTGTTTTCAGGCTAGACTTATGAAGCTTTTATCTAGAAAATCTTAAAATTTTGAAAAAAATATATAAAAAGTTATAATTTGAAAATGTATAATTCAATAACTATATAATAAAAAAAACTCAACATTACACCAAATACTAAATATGCATAGTACATGACAAAGAAAAAGAATAACATGTGTTTCTCATCCTCTAGTGTTTTAGTTAATGCAATCATTTTCTAGAGTTTAAATCTTAATTCTATTTTAAAATAACAGAAAATATGTGACAGAAGAAAAAAATTCATATTTCAAATAATAAAGAGAAAGTTCTATAAAAATATGTCTCACGATTTTTAATACCCAAACTTATTTGATATCGGTTTAATATTTCAACTAATTATCTTGCTCATTTTAATATATGTGCTCATTTTAATATATCCCATTCCAAACAAAACTTTTTACAAAATTGAAATAAAATAAATCTGAAAGTTTTCAAATTTAATTTCAAGTTTAGGAATAAAGTAAATAAGTTGTGGATAAAATTTTTAAATTTAGAAATTATTTAAATAAATAAATTAATTAATTTTAAACTTCAGAAAGAAAACTAAATTTTAAATGTAACTATAACTAATAATATAGTTTTAAATATTATCCACACTTTAGATACTTTATTCCTATAACTTAAAATAAAAATAGAAATTTTAAGATTTACTGTGATCAGTTTTAAAGATTTTTTAAATTTTCATTCGAACTTATAAATAACTTGGGTATTAAAATGAGACCATTTTAAAATTAAGTGTATTAATATCAATAAATAATTTATTTGGGTATGAAATTGGATAATAGAAAATTTTAGGTATTAAAAAATTTAATGATATTTAGTTGACGTATTTTCATGGATTTTGTTTTCAGTAATAAATTAATAAAAATAAATTCAGTTTATTAAATTAAATATACTCAAAGAATTCAATGTACATAGTAGTACAAAAAATTTTAAAAGAAATAAAATATTAAAATACATAATCTGCGCGTAGCACGGAGAAAATATCTAATATATATAATAACCCTAAATCTCTAATAGTCTAGACCCATTCATTTTTTCTTCATAGTTTACCTTAAACCAAACGCCGTCTCTAATGTAGACTTTATGGTTCTGTCATTAATTTCTCCACACCTTTGGATTTTACTAGAGGATACACTCTTATTCTAAGATTTCTTTGGTGAAATATTGTTCGTCATTTTTGAGTACTGGATGCCCCCGCTCTTTGGTTAATCATCTATTTTGTTGTTCTTTGCTTAAATATTATATTGTTCTATTTTACAATGTACATATTATTATTTGTTCATATTTTATTTTGTTTTAATTCATGAACTGTATTCCTCGATTTTTTTAAGTAACTTCAAATAACCGAATCTAACTCGAAGTGTAAAAATACCCAAACAGATTATATACTCTATATTGAATACCAAAAAATTTAAAATATTCATTCCGAACTCGAACGGATAATTTAACACCCACCCTAGATTTAAACTCTGTGTAAACTTTAGAATCACCGGGTTCAGATACCAGCTAATCTAAATTGAATCAAAAAATTATCCATACAAAAAAATATTATTCCCAAACCAGTTCATGAAAACACAATACCAAAAAAAAAAACAACTCAGACCAAACTTAATAACAAACCATCACCAAAACTTGATGTTTAAATTATACTAGTGATGGATCCATGCGACCGCACGGGTGTATATTTTTACCTTTTTCGTGATATAATTATATGTTATTCCATCATAATACACTATATATAAATAAATATTTTGAAAATTTAAACTAATTAGTAACCTTCAATTGTATAATAATATTTATTGTGGTTATTCATTTGTAACCTTCAATTGTATAATAATATTTAGACATGAATTGAGTTAATTAGAGTTAATTCCTAATAATTTATGGGCTAATTTTTTTCAAAAAAATTATAAACAAAGTTTATGTATAATATATGTAGCTCCATTGATAATATTTGGATTTATTGTGGTTACTCATTTGTAACCTTCAATTGTATAATAATATTTAGTCATAAATTTAGTTAATTAGAGTTAATTCCTATCATGGACTTATTGTGGTTATTCATTTATAACCTTCAATTGTGTAATAATATTTAGACATGAGTTGAGTTAATTCCTAATAATTTATGGGCTATTTTTTTTTTCAAAACAATTATAAACAAAGTTTATGTCTAATATATGTAGCTCCATTGATATAATATTTGGATATTTTTGTTTAGATAAAAGGCAAATTTTCTATTAAAATTATCTGCTTAATAGACCCATGTAGTCCAATATCTTGTGATTTTAGTTATGATTAAAAACATGAAACTTGCGGAGAATATCCATTGTCCCGAATGTGTAGGAAGGAGTACATGGATTCTTGTTACTAATTTGAGCTTTGAATTAACATTCTTATTTAATTATTTATTTATTTCTTACTTTATAGTTAATTGGCATAATTTTAGGAAAAGTGGAAAAGACAAACATTTTTAACATTAATTTAATTAAATTCTCAGTGGTACTTCTTTAGGGTTATTTTATAATAGTACTTCTTTAGGGTTATTTTAGGAAAAGTGGAAAAGACAAACCACAAGTTTTAGGGTTATTTTATGATAGTACTTCTTTTTTAATAAATTATACTCCCTCCGTTCCTTAAAGATACATATTTTTTTAAAAAAAAATTCTTTCTAAAAGATCCATTTTTTACATTTTCAATGCATGTTTTATTAAATAATTGTAAACTTCAAAAAAATTAATTGCACTAATTGATTTTTGATTGGTTTAAAATTATGGAAAGAAGATAAACACAAAAAACTATGCAAATTTATTGTGTTTTATTAAAAAGTGTGAAAAAACTAGAATATGGATCTCCGTTTCTTAAAAATACATATTTTAGAAAAAAAAAATTGTTTCTAAAAGATCTATTTTTTACATTTTCAATGCATATTTTATTAAATAATTGTAAACTTCAAAAAAATTAATTGCACTAATTGATTTTTGATTGGTTTAAAATTATGGAAAGAAGATAAACACAAAAAACTATGCAAATTTATTGTGTTTTATTAAAAAGTGTGATAAAACTAGAATATGGATCTCCGTTCCTTAAAGATACATATTTTAGAGAAAAAAATTTGTTTCTAAAAGATCCATTTTTTATATTTTCAATGCATGTTTTATTAAATAATTGTAAACTTCAAAAAAATTAATTGCACTAATTGATTTTTGGTTGGTTTAAAATTATGGAAAGAAGATAAACACAAAAAGCTATGCAAATTTATTGTGTTTTATTAAAAAGTGTGAAAAAACTAGAATATACTAGGTCTTTTAAGAACAGAGGGGAGTATATAGAAACCAATAATGACTCTCAATTATGAATTTCTGTCACGAAGACCTTGCTCATTTCTTTTATGTTGGTTTGCAGCTTTAAAGACTCATTGTCGTAACAACTAATGATTGAATTAATGTCATTTTGGAGCTGAATGAGATTATAGATCTGAGGACGTTGCATGCCCAAAAAAAAGTAGATACATCACATGCTCTTAAATTGTTTTCAAACAGTCGGCTAAAGACCGAGTTGCTTGCAGCCGCATAGTAGAGAGAGAACATGATTTGTACGTTACAATCCCTAAATCAGTTACGTTAACTAGACAATGAATTTGTTTTCTCACACAACATATATATAAGCATGGCCGAGCCATAAACATTTTTACAATCATTTGTAAAAAAATTAATATAATTTAGGAAAATATACCTATCTAAAAATGTTTAAAAATGTTGGAGACCAAAACTAATATTTTAGGCTCGCCCTACATCCAACTTTGCATATTTAATGTTAAGTAAGTTTTACTGGATATAAATCCAAGAAGGAAAACCATAGAACAGAACACCCTATAAAAAGAAATTGGGAGATCATATTTAAGGTTATAGCTTAGAAAACTAAATAATTATATGGGTGATTAGGTGGATAAAGCACCATTTGCATTCGTCCATCAAATCTAATTCATGTTTTGATTAGGTTCTTTTGTACTTCAAACCTGACATCACTCTTTTGTTTTTCTCAGCTTCTTCATATTTTCTGCAATCTTTAGATTCTCTATTTTTGGAACATCATCAGCTATTTCCCTTTTTCTGGGTTAGTACTTCACCTTCTTGATGTAAAAATGAGAGCGGAACTGTTGTTTGTAGGAACTACTTGGGAATAATTTATTAATCTGTTTTCATTACTTACGAAGGAGACAAAACGATTATAGCGATTGGTGGTTTTCCTTGTGTTTGGCTAACAGAATTTGTCATTCTGCATAGCAACCACTTCTAACGTTGAAGCATAAACTTATACTAAGCTCCTACATTCATTTGAATGAAATCTTACCGAAATTTTACTTTCAGGTGTGACATTACGTCTTTGTTTCATCATCCAGACTGGAAAAAAGTTAGATCTATAAAGACATTCGTATTATGGCAGCTTTTACGAGGAAACCCCTGAGTCATTCATTGCAGAGATGCTTGGACCAAGCAGCTTGGTTGTGTTGCCCTTACTGCTCTAGTTTTGGATTTCAAGGCATTGACCAGATTCGTGCGTTTTCTTCTACACGTCCATGAACTTAAGAGGCATCGCTATGCACTGATGAAGCAGAGCATGAGATATCTAAGTCTACTCAAAGATTCTTTCAGACTTCAACACCTAGATATGAGCTTCCTGGTTGAAACAATGAAAGAATAAATGAAAAGATTGAATCTACCTACATCAAACGTGATCGTTGTATTCTTCTAAGGAAAATGGCAAACATGGCTCACTGTGCTGCTCGTCATATTCCTCTTCATGATCATGATCGACTATGACCATGTTTGGTAAGACTGTTCCTCTTACAATATGCTTGTTATTTGATTCGTGGAGGGATTCCACATCGTTTCCCACAGTTTCGACCTGGAGTAAGTTTGCAGGTTCTTTTGTTTTTGCTACAATATGCTGTGAGGAGATAAGTTAAGAAATTACCTTATATGAAATGAAAGTATCAAGATCCCTCTGTATTTGTTCATTTTCTTTCTGCTACAGCATAGTCCTTGTCTTCCTAAACAATTCCACATTACCAATCAGATACTTAACTACTCACTTACTTAAACTAACATAAAAGAAATATCTTTCATGGATCATGATCTTTCAACAAGAATCAGTTGACTCTTTTCCCAAAAAAGCGTAACAAAAAATTTCAGTCCTCTCTCTTATTATATACAAGCTGGATACTCAAAAATCTTCAAGTCTGTTTCAGAGGTTGAAGACTTCTAACATCTGAAGATTTATACACAACAAATCAAAGTGTTCTTATTCATCAGAACATAATGTACAAAGTAACCACAACACTTCAATACATTGATTTAAAAAACAACAAAACTAACAATTCATTCAACAAGTAAATGAAGGTCGTAGAATTTACCACAACTTAGACAGTGTAGAGACTAAGGTTCTGATCCAAGAAAACCCATTTGATCAACAATGTCATGTAGATCCTCACTACCCCAATCCAACGGTGAAGCAACCAAGTCCTCCACTTTCACATCAATCTCTGGCTCTAAATGACCATCTTCCATCATCAAATTCAACGCTTCCTCATCTTTCTTATTAGGAACCAAACTACTCGACTCATTATCTATAGCTGCAGCAAGCAATGTTTCCATATCATTCTTCATCCTGTCAAACTCCTGATCATGCAACAAACCTTCCTCAATAGTCCCCAAGCTTGGGCTTGAAGTAAGCCTCCGTTTCCTACCAACATCTGAACCGAACAAAGCCTTCCTCTCTTTGCTCATCAGTGCAAACTGTTGAACAAAGTTTGGGTTGTTAAGAGCCTTGGCGAGGAACGTCATCATTTGCTGCTGTCTCTTCTCCGTAACGAGCAGACGCTGCTCCATTTCTGCAACCTGGCTCTTGGAGTTATGTTGCTGCTGTCTCAGCCTAACCACTTCAGCTACGAGTACGCTATGGTCCCTCTTTAGCCTCTCTACCTCCCCTTCGAACCCGTATTGCCCAACTTCCACACATGACATACCTGATGATCCTGTTCCTTGCTGATGACTCACTGTCTGCAAACCCATGTTCCTCCTTCGTTTTATGCTCTTCAGGAGATGCTTTTGCCCCGCTAAAAACCCTTCGTTCGCAAACTCCCATCTGTCCGGATCGATCTTTCTGAATCCCTGCAATACCAAGGACAAGCTCCTTCAGATTCTTGTTGTCATGACCTTCAACTTTAAGAAACGGAACCAGAACTATGGTGAAAATAGAAAGAAACCAAGATGCCTTTTTCGTTTTAATTAAGACCAGAAGGTTAATTTTTTTGAGAAACCCATTTGAGTGTAGTCGTTTGGAAGCATAAAGAAGTAACCTTTTAAGAAACCCATTTACAGAAATCCAAAGTTGAGAGTACAAAAAAAAAAAAAAAAAAAAAAAAGCAGAGGAGGTACTAGTGAAGAGGGCACTTCACTTACATAAGTGTTGAGCTGACGAATGAAGCTGGAGAAATTGGAATGCTTGAAGTAGCGAGGGAGGAGAGTTGTGGAGAATTTGTGAGAATCCCAAACGATGAAGCTGTTACGACCATTGCTCCAAGACACCACCGTGTCCGTCGCAGGATCCTCCACCATGTCGTATGTCTTTGTCAGAAACGGCGGTGGCCCTGTCTCGTTAAGCCCTTCCATTGGTCTCGGTGACGAGGAAGATCCAACAGACGAAGAAGCCGCCGCCGCTGAACCACCGTAGGTCACTGTTTCTTCCTCGAATTCCACTTTCAGGTGTTCCATTTTTAATCCATAGGATAGCAATTTGACTCTGCTTTTTTTTGTTTACTCTGTTTTGGTTTGGGGAAAGTTTGTGGAAGTGTTAGAGAGAGAGTCTGATCTTGACATTTCTATATAAGTGGAGGAGAAGAAGGTTCTAGACATTTGTTATTCAAACTTCTTTGCCATTTGTCTAACACCACTTGACACAAAGGTTTCCAGAAACTTCTTCACCGCTCTAGAACCTTGTATTGGGCCTTCATTTGAAGAATTTGATCGTTTTTTTTATCAAAGTTTTTAGTTAGTTAAAGAACTTACTTAAAATTATTAAGATGTTGTTCTTACTTAGAAACTAAATTTCAAAACTACATTTCTTAATAGGAAAACAAGTTTAGTTTAACATTTAATTAAGAAAATAAGATACTTTGAATATTTTGGATTACAAAAGCCTCTGCCAACTTTTATAGATGTGTTATTTATTTAAAGAAAAACTAGATATTGACCCGCGCACCGGCGCAGATTTAACTTAATTGGGGAAAACATATTATATCATAAGTCATCGGTTATTAACGTGTTTCAGAAACTGTAATCGTATTGAATGTAATAGGGCTGAAGTTTGGTTTTGGGTTCAGCTTTTATTGAATTCTTAATGTTCTTAGTTTTTTTTTAGTTCTAGAGATATAAGATATATTCGATTATCTATATAAATTGATTTGTGTCCGGTTCGTTTCTTTTGGTTTGATATGGTTTGGTAACAATTATAATAAATGACTAATATCAGATAAATTTTTGGTTCCAATATGATAACGGTTTGGTTACGATTTTTAGGGTTAATTTTAGATTAATCGGGGTAAAACTGATTTTGGGGGATGAGAGATGTTTCGGATAAATATCAAGTTACGAAAATAAAATTTTAATATTTGAGTTAAAACTATTCAAGTATTTTATGTCTTATGATAATTTGAATAATGTAAAATACTTTAAATAAAAGATATTTTAGTATTAAATTATTTGAAATGTAAATCTCTATTATTAAAAGAGAAGTATCCACTAAAAAATACCCCTAAGTTTTCCAACTTATTTACACTCATATGCCACTGAGAATTTAATTAAACTTCCTATTTAAATGCTTGTCTTTTTTCAGTTATATTAATTAAACATCTTATTTAAATGCTTGTCTTTTTCAGTTATATTAATGAGTTATTTAATCAACCAAAAATTACATGCATCACTAACAACTTCCTATTTAAATGCTTGTCTTTTTCAGTTATATTAATTAAACATCCTATTTAAATGCTTGTCTTTTTCAGTTATATTAATGAGTTATTTAATCAACCAAAAATTACATGCATCACTAACATGTCTTTTTCACGTATATTAATGATAACTCATTTACTGCATCACTAACATCACTGATATATTACATGCATCTAAAATGTGTATCAATAAAACGTGCATCACTAATATAATATAGAGAAATATAATATTAACTAACACACAATATAACATGTGCATGTATTAACTATATTGGTTTATATAATG